CACTCTCTCTCTCTCACATCACACTCACAGACCCACACAGACATTCACACACACACATGCACACACACGCACACACACACACACACACACACACACACACACACACACACACACACACCGTGTATTTAGTCAACTTTTTGCAAGTAGAATGCAAGCTCAAGTTTGGCATTTAGGCCGGAATAAAAGCAATTGATAGCTGATATGGCAAAGTCGAAATGTGTTAAGTTTGTGCATGACAGTCTGGTAGGACCACAACACAATCACATGGTTATTGTTTTGCTCCTTTTTTCAGTCGGTCTATCTATATTCTTTCGTAAGTAGGCACACCTTTCGTCATCCTTTGAGAATCGAATGAAACCCAGATTTTAATTTTTGTTTTTGGAATGGTGCAGTTTACGAGTATAGCAGAACACCGTTGACACTTTGTGCTAACCGGAGCCATACTTGTCAATGGTTAACGAAAATGCCTTGAACAATGGACGCAGTTTGTTTTGTTTACCGCGCTTTTCCTCACGATCAGCTGGTGTCCCAGATACGCGCATCTGGGCGAAGTGACAGCTCTCTTGTATGGACATTGCATTACTGTAAAACTCTCTGGATATACAGTGTACCGTGATACTGGTATCATTATAATCCTAAATTGTAAAACATTTCGGGTTTTCGTAGCGGTCAAGGAGATTAAAAGTAACTATTTCATTCAATTTGGAGCCAAACCAAAAGCAAAGGGAGGGAACGAGTTATTTCTGGCACACAAGGATGTTAAAGTTTAAAGCTCCTTACTCAACTGGCACATGTCAATGGTGAGGGTGAGACGACATGTAGACTCAAGTGTTGTTGTTTTTTCACTCAGGAGACATGGGATGCAAGTTTTGCAGCAAAGTTTTTAGAGCCCAAAAGAGCGGGTGGACAGTGGTCTAAGTAATCTAGATTTCATAATTCAAGTCTAGGCCTCGGAAAGAACTCGCGAGGGCAAGAATTTTAGCCATTTTGCCATTCATGCAAAAAATGCGAGATATGCATCTAGATTCTAGATCTATAGCAAAAAAATAACAACAAAACAACACAACAAACAAACAAAAATAATTTCTTTTCTGAATTGTTTCTTCCAGGCGTATTCGAACATGTTTGCAAAGTAACCTTTAATGGTACAGTGGTAGGAATAGATCTAGAACCAATAATATTCATTGGCCAGGCCGGCTGGGCCTTGAACAATCTGGCACCTGCTCCTGGCATAAAAAAAAGAAACGGCCAGCCAAAGAAAAATTTACAAGGGGGTTAACTCTGAGGAATGATTGGTTACTGGTTACTACTCTTCGGCGACGGTACAGAGTAAGGGTGGGCCGACTCCGAGAACTTCCGAACTTTCGACTCCGAACATTTTTGGGCGCGAATTCGTCGACTTCGACTCCGAATTCGAATTCAGGTCAAGATAGCAGCCAATCAAATTTGAGGAGAGGCAAGAG